CAGCATTGTTTCCACTGTTCATGAGGGTGACCCAAAAAGGCATCTCGTGAATGCTAATGCAGCTAACTATGAGGTGTGTGTGAATTCTAAGGGGCCCCCTCAGATTTAAAAAAAACAACGCGAGAGATGACATTGAAGTTTTACAAGACAGTGTCTCTTTACTAGCTTTATCGCTCTTTATTGGTCCTGAATGAATAGTCAATCTCGATAGAGTTTAAATAAATGGATCTTTCCTACTACCGGTGAAGGTGCAGCAAGCAGCATTCTCATTTTTCACGTGATGCAGCGCATTCGCCTCTAATGCTGTTTCAGGTTGATCAGAACACAAATTGAGTCCTGTTCGTCCAAGCCACAAAGAAAAGATTCAGCACCGACTGTGGGGTGCCACTGAGTATTCTCTTGAAGTAATAAGATATGGTTAGATCATACAAAAACAGTAACTGTTGTTAGCTATCACTGCTTCTAGTAGAATCAAAATCAACTTTTACCTTTGAATAGGTTTAACAATTTGATTGTAAGCGAAATTGACTAGCTTTCACATAGTATTTTGCCGAAGGTCTTGGAGCACCCAAGCGCTAACTCAAGAGTAATTTTGAGTGATGTCCCCATCCAGTCATTCATCTTAAGTAAACCCAAGCTCATTCGTATGGCTTTTTGCATTTATTTTGTACCCATATCCGATTGCATTGCCTAATAAGCTGAGTACCCTTCTAAAACTGCGTAGTCTGTCTGCTGTGGTAGGCTGCGGTCGTCGCATTTAAAAGGAGGTGAAATACTAGAGGTCTGTATACTGTGTGATGTGAGTGCACATTAAAGAACGCCAGATGGTCAAAATTTTTGAGCTCTTCACTACAGCGTCCCTCATAATCGTATTGCGGTTTTTGGAAGTAAACCCCCAAATATTAGAAACTATGCATGCATAGGTAGCCCAATAAATAGTAAGTTTTACTATTTCAGGTTGCAGATTTATTCTTTTTTTTTTTCATTGGCTCCATCTCACTCAAACAGCTGCTGTTTCCCCCACTACATACTATTTGGTGTTTTACAATGATTTCCATGAATATAGTGAAATGTGAATGTGTTAAAAAGACCTTTTTAGCAAAATAATTCTTGAATATTCTGGGTCACTGAGATGGAGGTTGTCTCCATAATATTTCTCTGAGCATGTACTGGGGGAGAGGGGGAAGGGGTTCAAAAGTTGTATTCCGATGGGAGCGTGGCCTGGGAACTTTTGACATCCCCCCCCCGCCCCCGTACAATTTATGCAAAAAATTCAAGTGAAACAGAATTGTTTTGAGCCTTTTTTTATTGCTGTGTAGTTGAGCATGACCTATTAAGGTTTGAAGTGTTTAATGTTCCAAAATGACATGCAAGATAAATGACAAATTTTTGGGTGGGTTCTAATTGGCTTGATCTGTCTTAATTTTTTTATGTGATTACAATCCAAGAACATAGGTATTAATTACTGAATTTGCCTTTAGTTGAATGTAGTTGCAGCATCCACAAGTTGAGCCTATGACCATGTCTATAGCAAGCATAATAGCCCCTTGCGTGTTCAGAACATAAGCGTTGTGTACATGATTAATATCCAATATCGCATGCAACCCATCTTCATTGAACTATTCTAGTGCTTAAATTTCTGTACTTAAACCTCGCCCATTTTTTCCTCCAGGTTTTACAGACCAACAAATGCAAGACTGCCTGATAATACGAAATGGAACATTTGTGGAAAGAAATTCACATTTAGGTTCTGTATATTAGCAGGTTCGAGTTCCTTCCAAGGTGTTGATGTTTGCATTTTTGCATTATTTGCAAGGTACAAGTGTGATGGAAAAAACGTTCTTCCGAGCACATTCGGTGCAGGGAACAGTGGTAGAATGCTCGAAATAGCAGTCTTTTACCTACCCACACAGATGCCATTATTTAGTAGAGCACGCGAGGTGTGCGGTGTGTATGAAGTGCATGGAGTTTTTGTGATGTCTACAAGTAATTGCTCTAGTTTTCAGAAGATGAGTTCATACGGGAGGATACAAAACTGTAATGAACAGCAGCCATATTGAAGTGCTTAATAGTAAAGTAGTTAGTAAAGTCTAAGGACTTGTTGATACGTGCGAGAAATGCAGAGACGAAGCATGCTGCCGAGTCTCAATACCAACTAACTTTATTATTTCGTCCACTCAATGATCGGTTCATCTCTCCCTCTTGGCACTTGACGGATCCTAAGAATTTTTTTTTATGGCAAGTGATTCGTGAAGTGCCATGCACTAATGGTGAGACTATTCGATTGTAACTCACAAAAGTGTTGTAGGGCCCCTCTAATTTTGCATCTGTTGTGTAGAACTGTACACATTACAGCAATCAAACCTAAAATGCAAATCTGTGCTCGTAGTACGCTACAGCCATGCAAGCTGACGTTGTTTTTGAGAGGGTTGGCCTTCACACCATCTGGGGAATTGGGGGGCCCTTTAAGCTGTCTACGTGTCTCCTGCTGCCAGCTTTTGCAGCCTCATATATAACACATGTGAGAGATGCAAACTATGCTTTCTCTTGACCTTCCCACAGGGTGTAGCTTTAGCACTTAATTGACTCGTCCGTCCCGCAGGTTGCACCCAGTGGCTGCATTGTGCTGATCGACACACAAACGACCCGTCTGGCAGGCAAAGAGGACAATATTTCTCGCTGCCCGGCAAAACCGTGCGCGTTCGTCGGTCGCACACGTGCAGCCGCTGTGGCAAGTCCTTCACGAGGAGAGGCAGCCTGAACGCTCACTTGCGCATCCACACCGGCGAGAGACCGTATCAGTGCCACCTATGCCCTCGTGCGTTCACGGAGAAAGGGAACCTTGTGTGTCACATTCGGATGCACACGGGGGAGAGGCCGTTTCCGTGCCGCTTCTGCGCGATGACCTTTGCGCATGAATTTTTGCGAAAGTACCACGAGCTCCACGTGCACTCGGCATAAACTCCTGCTCCTTGACGTGCTTGCTACATATCGCTGACGCAAGCCGGTAATGAATGAACGAAAGCCAGAAAATCTTCTAGGGGTGAAGCTTCTTAAGCTGTAGGCTTGTCGGCTGTCACGTCAACCCCTAGTACTGGGAGTGCTCACGAAATGGCACTGCTGTGCTCACTCCACTTTGATGTGCAGAAGACAGAGAGACAGACGGTTGGCCATCTTTGATGATGTACGGGGCAAGATTCACAAAAGATTCACGGTTTTACCAATGAACCTCCAGAGCTTCGCCGACTCATCATCATTCACTCCGTGGATATGCTGTGATTTTTTCCCAAGGGGCTCATTTTTCATTAGACAACAAACTTATTCCAATGGACAATTAGGCAAAGGAAAGTGTAGATAAAATTAATGATTGTTAACTGTAGTGTTATAATGATGACGTAAATGGAAATGACGGGAATCAAAGCAGATGTAAGGACTCCTTTTTCGCCAGTGCAATCCGAACCCACAACCTTTGAATTGTTGTTGGTTCGAGTCCCACCTCCTCTGCTGCTACCCTCGTATAGTCTGTACATAGACGTGCACCACGCCATTATCTTTTTGCTCTGTATTAATTATGATAGAATTCCAGTCATTGCAACGCTGTTGTGGGTGGCTTGCCAAAATTTTATATAGCTTTTTGTTTTTTGTTTCTATCTGCGTTTTGAGATCCATGAGCTACAAGCTTGCCTTGTGATAAGCGTACAGGTGTTTTCCCGGAAATCAGGTAAAACACACAAAGTGAAATTCGGTATTATGCATTCAATCCAAGACATCACTGTTCAAGAAATGATGAACTGAACAAATTATTCATCATTTGTGATGCATTATGTGACATTAGTTTTTTTTTTTGTGTATGCATGCCCAGTGAGCAGGTTAGCAATGCTTCTTACCTGGTGCTATGTTGACTTATGTTAAAGTGGTACAATGGGTGACTGGCTGTGAAATGGAGTTAATGAAAAAAAGTAGGGGGGGGGGGGGGTACGGGACAGGACCCGCATAGGCGTTGCCAAGTGGGTTTTCAAGCTTGGATGCATGCAGCAACCGCCTCCACATTAACAATTAGAGTCTATTCAACATTTGACTACCCTGTGGTTTTTACAGCAGGCTTGTCAAGCCCTCTCACCATTAAAAGGTAGAGATAATTTGTTGTTTATTTTCTATGGCCGAATGACATCATATCCCAGTTGAGCGAACCATCATGCTGACATCAGAAGGTGTGCTTTGTGCTGTTTGAAACAAGGGCTGCATTTTTTTTTTGTAGCCACCTTTCGACAGTGTACAAAGATAAGGGCTTGACACCTCTAAATGCTTTGCAATTGTCTTTGTTGAAGGTGAGAACTCTGGCATGCTTGCCCACACTCTTATCAGCATCCGAAGGTTTTGAATGCATTACCACTGTTCTGTTTCACACGTGGAATGCAAGACGAGTTATAAAACAGTTGCGAACCTCTTGACAATACCTGCACAAAAGCACTGTACAAACGTTATCAAATAACGAATGTTTTCAAAGAAACGCAAGAATGCACAATTTCTAAAAACTGGCTAATTTCTTTTTGATAACAATCACTTCAAGAACTCGCAGACCTGCACTATACAGACAACAGACTTTATAAATAGCACACATAGCACCATTTTAGATAATGTGCCTTAAAATACGAAGGAGCAAGATTTTTTTACCAAGCAATCAAACAAGTGCGTGACTAATACCCTTTTATTATTTTTTTAATGCAGAGAGCTTCCATGATCTCCCTTAAAGGTTGATTGAGCTGTTTGATAGTAAAGATCGTATTGTTAAAACAAGGAGTGCATGAACACGCGTGGCAATGCATTGCAAAATGTTGCAAAACATCCTGATGATTTTCTGACAGTCCTCTTTTTAAAGTTCTTGTCATTCTTCGTGTTTCACGATTCTGGCTACAAAGAAACTAGCTGAAGTCGGTCCTGCCTGTCCGATTTGTGGTTATTTTCTGTTTGCTAAGAACGTGCCATTCTGACTTACGCAGACACCGCCGCTACCGATCGTCATCCGGGGAATCTGTCTCCTCCCGACTGGCGAAATGAAGGTCGCCAGTGGCGCAGTCTCACGTGTAACTTCGTGACAGCTTTCCGACCAAACATGCTGGACCACCAAAAAATGCACAAGGGCGAGCGGCCGTACAGGTGTGGCTTGTGCAGCAAGGTCTTCACGCGGAAAGGCAACATGGTTGTGCACTTCCGAAACCACACCGGCGAGAGACCCTTTCCGTGCCAGCTCTGTCCCATGGCCTTCACGCAGAAGAAGATCCTCGAGGCACACATTCGAACCCACACGGGCGAGAAGCCGTTCAAGTGTCGCTTTTGCTCAAAGGCGTTTACGCACAAGTGGCAGATGAAGAAGCACGAGGAAGTGCACTCCACTAGTGCGTCGAGTGCTCAACCTCAATACTCGAATGGTCCGGGCTAGGAGCGAGTCGTGGGATGAAGGACCCACACCCACTCCTTGGCTATATACTCAAACCTCACTATAATAAAGTTGCATCTTAGACGAAAATAAGTTCGTTATACCCAAAAATTTGTTACTTTTGGATACAACGTTATTGCTATTCAACGTTGATATAACACTATATGTTATTTTTGGATGTAAAAAGGTTTATTTCTAACACTAGAGCTATCACAAGGCTAGTTTTCATTTACTTCATTATAACCGACATTTCCTTATATCCGGCTTCATTATGACGAGGTTTGAGTGCATAAATGTGATCTGTGCAGTCAAAAGTCAATGGAAATACTGGATAGTGTGGGCCAGGGAAAGTGAATGTGCAAGTACATAGATGAATAAAATTGTAATGGTGCACAAGTGTAAGTTTGTTCCCACTAATTTTGGCAGCCTGTGACTTAACTTCATCCTTTGCCATAACCTTTTAAAACCTTTTCAATCAACCTTTTAAAAGGTTTTCTTGAACTCATATAAAAAAAAAGGAATCTTGTTCACCGTACTTGTTCACTCCCTGTACTTTCACACTCACCAATAAATAAATTATCCATATTACCAGTCTTAAGTGAACAAAATATACACATAGTCATACTTACTGTAAAGAAGTTGGGCTCTTATGATTAATTACTAATACTTTTCTGTCCAGAACCTTTGCTCACCTTTGGGATATAGTGGTATTAAAATATTTCGCCAGTTTTGACCGCCATGAACGAAGAACAACCAAGCAAAAAAAAACTCATCACGTCTTTTTTTTTGCAGCTGATAACCTGCCCAAGTCTTTCAGCAATATTTGGGCAGCATGTTATTTCCAACAGCGGACCATCTATTGGTTTTCTGGCCCGAGATTCAATGTAAATGCTGGTGAAGTGAAAATAACTGCTACAGTGCTACAGATAATGCATTAACAAGTGAATTGCGGGATGACATTGTACTATAAAAAAGCAGCATTATGTGCTCACATTAAACGTTAAGAGCTGTGCAGGTACCTGTAAGCCGCACTATTCGGTCAAACCACTACACTCAAACGTAATTACAACAAAGTTGCACATTACATGAAGTTCATTATATCTGCAAATTCATTATAAAGGCATATTTCTAACATAGTACCTATTGTAAGACTGTTCTCTTTTACTTCGTTATAACTGATATTACGCTATATACGGGTTCTTTATATTGAGGTTTGAGTGTATATACCTAAAATATTGCCAATTCGACATTTATGAGTAAAATGTCTGATGAATAAAAGCTATTAGCACTTCCTCCATTCTTGTGGACAATTTTTATTACACCTGTAGTGTGGGCTGAAATAAGTGCATAGCATATGTTGACCTTTCTTTTAAATGCGAAGTATTTCTTAGCCAACTTCGGTGACTTTGAGTATATCTATCTATCTAGCCGCTCTCGCTTGGTGCTCTCGTGGTCTTAACTTGGCGTGAACCAAAATTAACATGGGAGGGTAAGATGGTTTGACGAATATGACACGCTGGTCAAGACATGAATAACGTCACAATCCCATCTCGTACGTCATTAAACACTTCCTGTCAGACAGTGGCACATAACCACGGGCGGATATGTGCCGGTGGAATGCGGGTATGTGCCACAGGTGATTTACACTTAGTATCTACCCAGAAACGACGAGAACACACGTAGGCAAGTTTAACGTGTGAGCATTAAGAAATAACCGAAATCGCTGGCATCGACCCGACGAATGCAAAGAATATATGTCAGGGTCCCAGCTGGAATCGAACCGAAGCATTCTGCGTGGCAATGAAGCATTTTACCACAGAGCAACACCAGGTCTCGGAACTACTTTTCAAATAGACAATCTTCGTGAAACATCAATAGTGGTTGCAGTGCTGCCTACCCAATTTCATAAACATTACACATGTGTGCCTTTCATACATCCGTCACGTCAGGTCACCATCAATTGTGGTTAGTTGCCATGCGCTGAAGTTGGTTTATGTGGCAGTGTTCAGAGCCAGCATCTTCGCGAGCATCAGCACTTCATACCAGCTTCTGGTGTTGCTAATACATATTTTCCAGTTAGCATCGTTGCACAAGTGCAAATAATTGGTTATATAAACATCTGCAACTCTTCAACATATGTCTGTGCATGCAGCGTTTGTACATATACTTAGAATCATTTCATGATGTGTCACACAATAAAAAGTTTGCAACACGGTCACCTTAACTACACATGCTTTGCATAACGTCAATTCCCAGGTACGTAGGATCTGCCGAATTCTTTTTTTAAAGAAGTGCTGGCACAAGTACTTCACCAATCCTTTTCAGAGTGAAAAGACTGAACTGCTTAGTGTTAAAAAAAGAAAAAAAAAAACAATTTCACACTCACTATTAAAAAAAAGTTCTATGCTTTTTAGCTTTTACGACGTCATGAACACTAGGCACAGCACTGAAACCAATGGCCAACATAGTTTGTGTTACACATGTTTCAAGGCTAGACTCACAATGCAATTGTGTACACAAATGTGCAACTACACTCGATCACAAATGAGACGAGACAAACAGGGTGGCATGTTCTCAGTTACTCTTTACTCAAAACATTAACCGTCTATGTATACAACATGTTACATGACACACCATCCGCTTTACAAGGTGAAATACATGCAGTAGCATTGGAATGTTAGCAATGTTAAAATAAATACGAAGTTTTCATATGCGTGACATCTGTACAAATCATTGCCACGAAATCAGCCAGTAGATAACTGTGGCTCTTGAACTTTCAACAAGTGACCCGTTGGCTTGTGAAAAAGTTGAGCCTATCTTGAGTATGCTAATTTCCTTTGAAGTACACCAGAAATAAATGTTGACTCGATTTATACTGGAGATAACTTTCCAAAAACTTCACAATGTGAAGCTCCACAACTTCACAACATAGTGCGTCATCCTGAATGTTTCTGCTTGCTTTTTGTGCCATTCGTTACTTCATCAGTTACGTCATCATTTCACAGTAACCAGTGCAATAGCAGAACTGTGGCATCCCTCATCAAATGGCTATTCATCTAGGGCTGTTCGGCATTCTAGTTTGCGCGGAATCAAGTTCTAACCACCTATGCGAGCGAAAAGCTTGTGCTCCAGCTTGCTCAAGCTGTCAAAGGATTACATTTTTGAAACCAAAAGCACGGTCACAAGATGAACTGTGCTTCAAACGTAAAAAAGCCAATTGCTTGAAAAGAAACAAACTTGGCTTTGCTAAAGATAATTTCATTCATTCTGAGGCCATAGTGCTCAAAAAGAGAGGAACCAAGCAAGTACTAAAGCCTCACCGACTTGTACCGAACCGACAGGCCTAAAGGTTGGTAAACTTGTTCAGCTGATACAAGAGCAAAGCAATCGGACAGAACATAAAGCATGTAACCACTACTGTACGAATTGATCAGCACAGGAAGCATAAAACACATAAGTTCTGGTACTGATATGAGAAGATAATTTCCGAGACATAATGCTGCACTTGCACAATGCAAGCGTACAATGTTGTCATGCTTGCCGCTCTCTGTCTCTTGGATATGAATGCATGAACACAGACTAACAGAGAGCTGGGCTTGTTGGCAAGTATTCATTCTCAAAAACCGGGTTAACAGACACGGACACAGGAAAGAAGTCAAGACGCCACAAATGGCGTTTGTGGCGTCCTGACATCTTTTCGTACTTTGTCTTTTAGCATGAACATAACAGCGACTACAGGGTTAAGACTCCCGACGAAAGAAGTTTCACAATGTTTTCCACATTTTAATAGTAGAACTGCATGCGCTAACAGGTAAGCCTTCTGCACCAAAAAAGAGTATCACCAATGCCGCTCCCTATAAGTGGTTATTGCAATGTTTGGCTCAATAACTCTTATAGTAAACACTGCAATTCCCCTTTAATAGATTTTTCTCATGGAGGAGGAGTCTCAAACTTAGCTCAGCAAGCTGGCCGCAGTCACATAATTTGATCCCGCAATGGCCAGGGAAGTGGAGAAGGTAGCAGTGGGTAGGGGGTGCCTGTGTAATTTGCCAGCAAGCACTGCTATTAAACTGACAAGAAAAAAAAAAAAACTTTCCCCTATCTCTCATACAGGCCATTTCCGAAGGAGACTTAGGTGTCAGAATTCCAACATTCTGATCAACAAAATGACTCCAATCTGGGCACCAAGAGAGCGCGTGTAACTTTTGCTTTCACGGTTGTTTGAAAACAAGGTGAACACATCGGATGCCTCACGAGTTACCTCAATAAAAAATCAAATTGCCATATCAGAAACGGCTGACAGCACATAACCCTTTGATCACCAAAGCATCAATAATTTGAAAACAGCGCATACGGATACGCATACAGCCGGTGCACCTTTAAGGGCCACATCTCTGTAAACTTGCCGGTGACCTTTAAGGGCCACATCTCTGTACACTTGCCGGTGGCGCTTTTTTTATGCCGGGGTCCACCAACACTTCAGTGACGTATTTCCATAACAGAAATGATGTCGAAAAAAATATGCAAGATCAGAAGACAAATAGAAAAGATTCCGCCAGCGGGAGTTGAACCCATGATTTCTGGGTTCTCGACAATGGAAGCCGAGCACACTATCCCCTGCGCCACGATAATAAGCTCTGTATGCTTGAAAAATTACACCTTTTATATCAACCGCCGTCCTCTCACTGCGTTCTTGTTAAAGTGTAGAAATGTATCATGACTGTGGCATCCACGATTACTTCAACGCGTCGTTTCGAAGTGTCCGTACCATCCGGCACGTTTTCTATAGTAGAAGTGCAATTCTGTCAACACCCTAACACACCTAGAAGTCACGACCTTACTCCAAGCATTGGCGTCGCTTATAGTATCTATCTATACCAAACTTAGCTCTGAAACCTCAAGAACTCACCCGTTTCCCCTGGACGTAACTGCGCGTTGCCCTCTTACGCTCGCCCCACGAATTCGCAGCCGGTCGAAGGGAACAGATGACGCATGTTGTGTTTCTCTCTGGCCGGGCAGTAGAGCCGCGAGTAGGTGACCTTAGCTTTAATTCGGCGCCCAATCAGTCAAGCGCTTCCTGCTGTGACTTCGCTTTCCTTGGTTTCATTCTCACTGTTAACTACTACTACAGCTACCATAGGTGTCTATGACTACAAGGGTTTGTTTAATCATTCACAATGGACGTTAGTCATAGGGATGTTATTACTAAACGTCAACATGGATGCACCCACCTTAAGTGGTGCTATAGCTGTAAACCACCAGTAGATTTTGCGTAAGCTCTCTTGTATCAATGTACAGTAAACATTAAACTATTTCTGTAGAAACAGGTTTTACTTTTGTGTTTTACTGATTCCTGTGACGGAGGGATCAACTGTGTTTTTTTTAATGCAAAACATCGAAATCTCAGAGTTAAAAAACTCTACATTTATGTACAATAAACACAGCAGTGTTTTCGTGGCCTCTGAAATACTGTCAAACCTCATTATAACAAGGTTGCATCTTACATGAAAATATGTGGATAGGGAATAAGTGAATCCGAAAATTCGTTATGAATGTATATTCCTACCACTATATCTACTGCAAGAGTATTTCTATCGCAAGAGTATATTTAATTTACTTCGCTATAACTGATATTTCGTTATATCTGGGTACATTACATCGAGGTCCGAGTGTACATGCACAGTGAACACCACTCTCTCTCAAGTCCATGCGACACACAATAGCACAGTGGTTAATGCTTGTACATATCTGCACATATCTGCAAACACACAAGCTTGTCTCTCTTTGGCACAGTTATGGGCAAGGTTTCTTTAGTTTTCTGGTGGCAAGAGAAAGCCTGAATATATTGAAGCGGTCTGACGACAACAAACTAAATGATGACTCAGCCAGCGAAGGCTACAAAAGTGTAAGAAGAGGAGGCATGATCTAGGAAGAGTACTGTCAAATAAAGGCAGTCAAACGAAGGCTAAACTATGCCAATTTCGAAAACGAGAAAGCTATTCTTTCTCTCGTTCAGTACCTTTCCTCAAGATGCTGTCTCTTTCTCACTACTTATTCTAAAACATGCGAACAATGTCAGCATTAAGAGTTGAACCTATCAGAATTTTGCCCATTTTGGCTGCATGCAGTTATCAACATTTTGCAGTTGAAAACACACAAAAGCGAAGTAAATAATTTGACCGTGCATGACCTGTGATGCGGGAAAAGGCAGAACAGAGAATGGACAAGTGACTGCCAGGGGCGGATCCAGCCACTCATTTCAGGAAGGTGGGGGGGGGGGGGGGGTCGTTTAAGGTAACACTAGAGAGGGGGGCGTGGTCATGAATTTTTGTTTTTACTAGCAAAAAAAGACCACTTTATAGCATAAATACTGTTAATGTGTGCTCACAATGGTTTAACTCATTTGTCCTAATTGGTTATAGGAGGCGGTTATAGGAGGCGGTGTGTCGGTTCACATGAATGATGTCATGTGAACCGACAGTTCGCATCACGAATCCTACAAAAATCACTGGGGAAATGGCAGAGAAGGATAATGCACTCACTCTCTGTATTTTCAGAGACTTCTTGAGGCCCTTTAACAACTGCCTATGATTAATAAATGTTGTGATTAGACCAAATTAGATTACACATGCAAAATGAGACAAAAATTCAGGAAATCATTTTTCAGTCACATCCTGCTTCAAAAAAAAAAAAAAAAAGAAAAACACACACACATGCGCACACCTAAGCACACGTTTAGGTGAAGTGGCAATGGCATAATTTAGGAAGTGAAAAGGCAGGCATAGAGAGCCCATACAGAACAGCAGAGAAAAAAATGCAATTATGTCGGCCTTTTAATCATATGATTTGTTTTTATGCATTTTTTATGCTGAGTTCCCAGCAACTTACTCGCCATTCTATTGATTTATGTTGAAAAGGACAAAACTGCACATTCATGCAAATGCACAGCACCATATTACAGAGAACCTAAGTCTTGTCACAATTGTATTTGTAGCATGCATTCAAAACAAAAAGAAAAGAGAATAAGATGGAGAAGTATGCATGCAAGATAACAGCCTTGACTGGGAAGGCTGAATAATTATGCAAGCAGGGGTCACAATCCAGGAAATTTAACGAGTGTTCTTTACAATATGCATATTGCTGCACGTACACTTGCAAAGTTAATCGAAGTGTCAACACCTAGGCAAGCTAAGTGTGTTACCCCCCTATTCAGAAATGCTCCTTGACTTGAACTTGACTTGAAACAACCTTTAATGAAGCGCATTTGAAATGCGTCTGTGTGTTTGTGTTGCCTTGGCACCGCCTAAAGGTGGCACGTTCAAAACACGTTTGTGCTGCATTGAAGTCGGTGGCAAGTCAAGTTCAAGTCAAGCAGCGTTTCTGAATACGGTGGTTAGTTTTTTCTGCAGCTTTCTGCTGCTTTCCTGTTAAAGAGGAGTCGCAGCTGTCATTTTGCGTAGAACCCATGCTCTATGAATAAGCTAGAAAGAATAATAACAGTGTCTTTAGCATAAGATTGCAAATGTTTCGCAGCTCCAGATGAAGCTAAGTGAAGGAAAATTAGTGCTTCTTTGTTTTCAAGATACACCCCAGTCTCATAAAATCATGAGCTCACCGGCAGTAAAAGACATTTTCACAGAAACACAACACAGTTACCTCCGTACATTCTATGGGCACTACACACCCAGAATTGTTCCAAGGATATCTTTAACACCCCTTTCTGATGAGCATGTCAGCACGACAGTGATGATGTTACTGTATCCGGCTCAACACTCACTGGCAGTACAGGCCTGAATCTCTTTCTAGAGTATGAATTGCGAGCCTAATAGTTCCGATTCAAGAAACCTAGTCACGAGGTGCAAGACCACTGTGTGGGCTATGCACGACCCTCCATTTCCCGTTTGTGCAGGCTGAAAAAGCCCGCTTGTTCGAATACCTTGCTGAGCAACGTATCTCCTCCGCACGTACAGCACTTGCGGGACTAGATAAGGCATTTCGTGCCACCGGATTACATGCGCGTCGTCGATGACGAGCGAGCTCAACCAGAAGTGCCGGCACTCTGCTGCTCCCCTGATTGCACGTGCACCCGCATGTGTCGGTTGTAGTTGCCCTTCTGCGAGAAGCCCTTGAAGCAGAGGGGGCATCGGTACGGTGTCTCCTTGGTGTGCGACCGCAGGTGTATCTGAAGTTGGGAGTGAAAGCCGAAGCTCATGGGGCAGACGTGACAGGCGAAGGGCTTTGGTGTCCAATGACCCTGCGTTCCAGCCACGTTTGGGGCATTGCTCGTCCCACTTCCTTCGCCCAGCTGCTGAATGACAGGCTCACCGGTGGTTGCAAAGTCGGCCGCTCTAGTGCCAATGCCATGCATCGGCAACTCGCGCTGGCTGGCACCTGGCGCGCAAGGTCCTAAGGTGTCGACAGCCCTGTGGAAAACTGCTGGGTCGAAGGGTGTGCATACTGCAGTTAGAAAGGAAGAATCAAATGCTCTAAGAGTTCCTCCAAAGTGTAAGATCTCAATAGAAGCTGCACAAGCCACAGCTGCCTAGAAGTCGGATACAGTGAAATCAACGCCAGTTATAGAAGTCTGAAGTGAACAAGAATTTGGAGCAATATGGTGCATAGGAACAGACTGGCAGGAGTCACCTTTGTTGCACTGAGTCTCTAAAACGAAACATACAGCAGACTACGAATTGGTGAATTTTTTAATGCAGAAAACGAAAGCAATTTTCATTTATAAAAACCAAAACTTTTTGGAAATGGAACCATGAAGGTAAGCTTCAAAGAATATTTCCTGAAGAAGGTTATTGAAAGTACAATTAGAATGAAGTTTGTCACTAGGAGGAAAACAATGAAGTAGTGCTCTGGAGGATGAAAAACAGCAGTACTGGCTGCTCAGAGGCTCCCACTGTAGTAAATATATTAGTAACATTTTGGCCATGCTGGTAACACATCTATCCAGAAAGTCATTTCTGAAGAAGAGTGGCAACTCAAGCAAACAAGTTTCCACATTTATAATGCACTGCATCTGCAGACCCGCACAGCTTCGTAGTTGGGCCCTCGTATATAAAACCAAAATATGAACAACTAAAGCTTCTAATGCCTCACAAATGACTATTTCGAAGAACGCCACGTTGACACTGAAGTAAAAATGAAAGTTGAGCACCGAGAGAAAATTCAAGCTTCTATACGCAGTTCCCGCGAAATTTTATAATACCGTAAATGCCAGTGGAAGAGACTTGGGCAAGCATGCCACCGCTTGCTTACCTACGCCACGAGGCGTCATACTTGTGGCTGTGACATGAGGCGGGACAGGCATCAAAGGTCGACGCTCGGCGGCATTATCCGGCACCGGTGTAATGACCAGAGATGGTGGCCATGCTGCAAGGAAACCATATCATTTATGACACTCAGTGCTTAATTGGACATATGCTTGGTTACATTTCAATTTGCACCCGACAGATAATGTGCAAATTGTACACACCTTGCGTTATTCAGTTAAAACTGAACAAAAAAGGCCGCTCCACCGACAGAATCGATATGGGCCTGCCCTTCACTTGTGAAAGAGTAGCAGTAGCCGATTTCCGCTCGAACCATCGGTAGTCTTTCTCAGTTAATTTGGGTACTACACATAATCAGACATAAAGGTTTGTCGTTGCAACTTAAAGCGATATGTTTAGCTGAGAAGTAATGTCAGAAGCACTGATGAAATTTACCAGGACATTCAATTAAGACCCATGACCCAAATGTGGGTCTATATGGCGAAGCTAGCCATAATCTTTTTTTTTCGTTGTAAAGAATTGTAGTCCCACAGACTCTTTGTTTCACTTATGGCTGCAACTCAATTTAATAGTTGAACACTGGTGATGCAAGCCTAGCTTAAAAATTGCAGCTGATTATCTTGGAAATTTTCAATTTGCCTCATCTTGACAACCCAAACAACCACCTATAAATGGCTGGTACTTCTTTTCCTTCTGAAGTTGTAACTCCAATTCAAAAATTGTGTTGCAGTTTCAGAGCGAAGATTGCACTACTGGTTCTCTTCACAATCTGTTTGCAAAGAACATTGCTGATAGCAACCCTTCATTTGAATAGTCGCAATATATCTTCCATTGTCAGTGTGTGCTAAATAAAAGAATGTTAGAGGGGCAGGAATACCTCTTCAGAAGAAAAACAAAGTATTGTGCCTCTGTCCCTAGCAGCTAATGCAAATCAGGCAGTTAAGCACCATATCTGTAGAATAACACGCACTGCAACATAATGGAGCTCTCCCAATCTACCAAAAACCGAGAGTTGCCAACTGTAGCTGTGCCATGCGTTAGTGCTGTGACTAATCTTATAATAGCCTATGAACAAATATTGTTATTAAATACTACAACAAATATAAAGTTTCCTGAAAAAAACTAATACGTTGGAACTAATGGTCGTGGATCTCAAATGTTTTGCGTGTTAAAGTTTCTTTCAGCAAGGAGAGTGAGCAGAGTAACTGGCGGTTCCACAGGCATGCAGTAAGCACTCATACAATGGGACAGTCCAATGTTTTAGCACATTTGAGTGATAAAAGCCATTTGCTAATGCTCTTTTTTTCTGGTACATTGCCAGATATAACTGCTCACTGCGTACAAGCTTTGCATCTTTGAACAAACAGGGCAGAACAAGACAGCACAGAGATTTAGTGCAGCAGAGGTTTAGATAAAAATGGCGCTAAAGTCACACAGACAGTTTACTTCGCTGGCACGTTAATTTGAATAACAGGACAATTTGCCAAGATGCTTCCAGGGCTGGCAAAACAAAACTTCTGCCACAAAGAAGCCGTGAAAACTGGAACAAATGAACTTCCAGTTTTAATAATTAAATTTCCCTTGCACAATGTGCAATACACCACTGCAGATGCCTTTAAAGACTGAATTACGGAACACTGTTCACCTAGAATACAATGCAGATGTTGCGACCATGACAGACAGAATTGTCAACCTGTGGTATTTCAGACAAAATTAGCTGTAACACTCAACTGTATCCAAAATTTACAACTTAGACTTTTCTGGTAAATTCTTAAGCTGCTAATCTAAGGAAGTCTTTCAGTTAATTAAGTTACTTTATCAAGTTTCAGTTATTTAGAAAGGAAACAAAAACCAGAACATGCCAGTTTGGGCAATTTCACACAAGCTCTCTCTTTACAACTATCAATGCATAATTAAAGTTTCTGATCAGACCTGGCAGAAGAGTCCCTTCTAATGTGGTGCCACAAGCAGGCACCTCATCAAATGCAGTTACTTCAATTACACCAAAAACAAATATACAAAAATAACATTGTGAGAACAGCCTAGTCAACAAGCATGAATTGATTGATATGTGGCGTTTAACGTCCCAAAAACTATGATTATGAGAGACGCCACAGCGGAGGGCTCCGGAAATTTTGACCACCTGGAGATCTTTAATGTGCACCGAAATCTCAGCACGTGGGCCTACAACATTTTCACCTTCATCGGAAATGCAGCCGCCGCAGCCGGGATTCGATCCCGCGACCTGCAGGTCAGCAGCCGAGTACCTTAGCCACTAGACCACCGCGGCGGGGCAACCAAACAGAACCAACAGCAGTACACTTTGTCGCATGCAATGGCATAAACTGTACCTTTGACAACAAATTTTCTGTAGAAAAAGCCTTGCGGTATCCAGCTTGCATTCTGACAAAGCCAGCCCTACCAAGTTTGTTGCATATAATTACAGCCGCCATTGTGCTCACAATGGACACAGCTGACTCTCTTTCCAACATAAATAAGTGGAAGCAATATTTCGCGATTTGCAGAATGCTGGCTTCGACTTGAGTTTTACAAGCAATGACTGTGCCATCAACGATGAAAGTACTATAAACGAAGCAACTTTATTAATCACAGATGCTGATCACATTTTGTCAGCAAGATGAACATGTAAAGCCTTCATATTGCTGAGAAAACTTCTGAAAGTATTAAAGGTTGTAAGAGAAAAGTAATAAAATGGAACAATATCACAGATGCTGGTCACACCGAGTCAGCATAATAATGAACATGTCAAACCTTCACATTGCTGAGAAAACTTTGGCAAGTTTAAATGAAAGGTTATAACAAAAAGTATTATTAGGAACGATGTCACAGGTGCCAACCACACTGTGTCGTCGCAATGGTGAACATGTGAAGCCTTCACATTGCTGAAAAAACTTCTGCAAGAGTTAATTATCAGTTGTGATAAATGGTAATACTAGAAATATCACAGGGGCTGAACACACTTTGCCAACACAATTATGAACATGTGAAGCCTTAAAATTGCTAGAAAAACTTCTGCAAGCCTTAATTAAAAGTTGTAACAAACATTGATACTAGGAATGATATCACAGAGGCTGACCACACTTTGTCAACACAATTACAAACACTTGGAGCACTAACATAGCTATGAAAACTTCTAAATATCTTAACTTAAACGTTGTAATAAAAGTGATAATATTACCAATGGTTTAAGGTGCAGGAGTAGTATTGAGCGACGAGGTAAAGAAAATGTAACGTGGTGTTACAGCAATGTTGATTGGGTCGTTACATCCATGTCTGTTTCTTTATGTACTGCATGAATGTTGTAAAATATTATCACATTTTAAATATACCAAATATATGGCACCTTTTCTGTCAAAACGACTGCACCATGCTCATCAGATTCCAACAGAGTCGTATCTCTGAGTAAAAAAAATAATAATTGCACTTAAATACTGCATTGAGAAATGTAATTTCTAGAATACTTTTTACAAAACAAAATATTTTTGTGATTTACGGCTTTCTGAAATTCTTTTGACAAGCCTTATAGTGGTAGAAAAATAATTTTAAGACAAGATATATGCACTGTAAAGCAAGTACCGATTGCTCACATATTTTGATAAAGCTCAGAATTTAGAGAAAAAATCGCCGAAAAGTACACCTTGGTAAAATTTCTGTAAGCGTATGCACCAGAAAAACTGCACTGGTTTAATTGAATCTAAAACGTTAAAAATCTGTTAGCTTCATATGTAAACCAAATTTGGCATTCGCATGAGAAATCATGCCCATAACAATAAATTTTATGATGATCTTTACTTCAGTGATACTATGGGAAGCTTCTAAGCAGCCAAACTTTCTTTTGTCTGAAATAGCCTATCGATTCATCGTTTACAGCGCAGTGATGAAAAAGGGTCTCGTTTTCCATTTCATCTTGAATGGCAACCAAAATAGCTGGAACGTTTGATGCGGTATGACTAGTCTTATCACATATTACACACTGTGGCACAAGGAGCACATTGTGAAAAAAAAATGATACAAAAATATCAAGAAACAAAGACAGAATGGTATGAGATATAGCTGTGACTAAATAAACTTGTCACACATGAAACCAAATATGCTACACACAGAACTGGCAACCAAATAGTACTTCACTTCTGTACAAAAGCCATATCTACGACAAAACTTAGATAACCACACACAAACATAATTAATACAAACATACAATTAAACACGCACAAAGGTAAGCCTAGCCTTCAAAAGTGGGTCACGCGCTTTCCCTCCAGCTGAACGAACAAAATTGTGCTTTGGCATGGCCCATTTGTTTACTTGTAAGATGCAATGTATGACAAAAGACGTCTTCTGGGTTGCTGGCCAAGCAACATTATTTGCTGCCTCCACAACGTTATGTAATTTAAACTCAATAATAAGGTTGTACAAAACATCACTGTTGGACCTGCATACACACCAAACAGCGGCGAAATGTGGTGATCCATCAAACAGCAATATTCGACTAACCCTTAAAGGAGCACTTGCACAAAGTTTCGAAGAAAGAAAATGTGAAGTAGTATGTAAAAGCAACTAGCTGGGCTAGTTAGAATGCTTTGTTTTGCGCATTGCCAGCACTCGTGAAAAACAGAAAAAGAAAACCACAAAGAGATGAAAACATCTTTCAGTTCTTTCAGTGCTATGAGATAGACTTAAGCAGACCTTCATACAAGCATGGCCTATAGCATACAAATAGCAAAAACAGCATAAAGCATATTCAACATTAACTTTAGAGTGCACGCTGTGCAACTGGGCATAAAACAAGGCTCATCACAACATCAACATTAACTTAGATTCAATCTACATGAGCATGTCACAAGAATGTTCGGGCCACAGCGTTCTTTACTTAGGCTTTCCGCTGCAGTTGTCAAAGCCGTGCAAACATGACCAGTTATGTTATAATAAAGCCTATCTTCTGTAACTGAAAATATGATTGGGCATTACAGAAACAAGTCTAAATAATTTACTGTACCGTGCTCTAGCAAACATGGTTTCCAGCAATAAGAAGTAGTTCATTACCCACATGTTGGAACAGAATTGCCCTATAGTTGTACTCTGTGGAAATGTTCCTATACAATATATTGAATTGTACTGTATACCTCCCTCACCGTATGCCTCTCACGGGGCCTGTGAGGTATTCTTAATTAAATAAAAAAATACATGAAACTTTTGTGCAAGTACTGCTTCAAGAATAACACCTCACATGGGAATGACAATGCTTATCGCAGCATCAACAGAACCTTTTGCCTAAACAAACAACTAGGGAGACACACCAAGTGCATAATGGCACTGCTTTCAACAGGTCTCTTCACTAAACAGCATTAAAATGTTAATAACAGTTAAGGAAGGTCTACAAAGGGTGAGCTTTATGGACATGAATTGCAAGGGCACTCTTTTTAGGATATGCTTTCGAACAGTGTGGGCATTTGAATGTCTTCTCCAAATGACTTTTGTTCACATGGTCTAACATATTACGTTCACAGGCAAATATTTCATCGCACTCGGGGCACCGAAAGAATGCTCGAGGGCCACTCCGACGAAGCCTTTGAGAATGCTCGGTCTTTTGCTGGGCCTTGTGTTCTCTCTTGGTCTGAAACGACAGTTGGAAGCCGGATGGGTTGCTCTTGTCTGGCCGCCACTCAACACTCGCGTCGGGTGTTGCAATGCCGCTAGGTACAATGGCGGCCCATTCTTGAGAATTTCTGGGACTTGTGGCAGACGATTCGCTGCCGGCTGCCACACCTGTACATCAAAAGAGAGCTTCTGTTGTCGGTTAATGCACACTGATTGAACCGTGCATAACTTTTATGTTATGAAACAAAAAGCCAGAGAACAGATTGAGGAAACCTGACAGATTTGTAGACCAAATATTCCACAATTTCATACAGCTCATCCACATTGTAAACACAATCTTAAAGAGTGGCCGAAATGAGATGGTTGGAATGGCTACCTCAATGTTCTCAGTCCAGGAAATGACTGCTTTGGGACAGCTAACTGCTGACAAAAGAGAAAATTCACAATGCGTTGTGTAAAGTTTGAATCAATTATGCTATTAAGCTAGCAATGCAGCAGTGGAGTCATGTGCAAGCAAGCAAATTTTGGTATCGAATTCATTAAAAAAGTAGAGTGAGAGAAGAAGAAATGTAACGAAAAAAGGAGATATGCCTTTGTTACTATTCTTCGTTAGTTCATTTTTGCATATGGTAAAGATAAATAAAGCTTGGAAACGGTGCCTTGCTGGTCAAAAAAAAAAAAGTACTACTGACCTTTCAAGTTTCCATTAAAAGATAACAAAATGAAAAAAGGAAGATATCCTTTGCTAGAAGACAAGCAAACGAAACAGCAATATAGAATGGCTTAGGCAACGGACACAATCTGGAAGCTTTCGTAACATATTGACACGGTGAATTATTCATAAAGAAAGGCAAGCAGTAAATAGACAAGGACACCTTGCCCAATTCCGCCACTGAAATCAACTCTTAAAATTGCCAAGCACATATAGAGAACACATTATGCGACATCAATACTGCTATGACCTCGGTTGCATGCAATAAACCACATACTTGCATTAATGACAGAAAAAACAAATAACATTTCACGGCTAAACACAAAGATGGCTGGCTCATGCACAAAAAAATAATAAAACAATGCCTATTAAGGATGCTGCACAACACACACCAGTACTGCCAGGACATTGTTGCAACATGATTAAAGTCAAGTACCTTCAAACCAAAACCACTACTCACCAAATGTACATGCCAATTTAAATTTAATTCATGGAGCACAGGTTAACGTCATCGATGCACTTTGCAAAACAACAGGGGTCTACTTGTTTTGCTAGTACGGAGGCCACATGCACACACACAAAAAAAATTAGCAGAGTTGCTGCATGTCACTTTTGCTGTTTTGCATAATCCATGCACACTAGGAGAGTTCTACTACTGCTGTGCACGCAGGCAAATGTATTGCCAGCATGTAGCAATTAAAAAAAAAAACAAAAAAACATGGGGGTCTAACATACAAAGTGCGATATAATTATCAGACACACTGTAGTAAGGGACTCCAGATGAATCTTGAACACCTGAAATTTACAAAATATGATTAGTCAGAATCTGATAAATAAAAAACCAATGAGACACAACATGAAGTGGCATAAAGTGTACTCCTGAAACCACAAGTTCCCAAGCTGATAACACAAGTTCAACATTTGTTCTCTTTCGCACATAGAATCCATCACGAGGCACTTGCATGGTAACGCACAAAAACATAATTAGCAAGGGCTTTCACCTTGACTTCACTCTAGATTATAGCAAAATAAAGTGCAGCACACTCCCCCCACGCCCCCCCCCTTCATTCAGAAAAAACACACCCTCGTCAGCCTGACTACTCCCACTGCAGGGCATAGACCTCTCCCCTGATCCACCAATCAACCAGGTCTTGTGCTTTCTGCTGCCGCGTTATACTTGCGAACTTTGTGTTCCCAGCAGCCCACCTTCCTTTCTGTCTGCCCCTCACGCGTTCATCTTCTCTGGGAATCCAATCAGTTACCCTTATTGACCAGCGGTTATCCTGCCTATGTGCTACGTGCCCGGCCCATGACCATTTCTTCCCAGGAACCACACGCTGAATACTAAATACAAAACAGAAACAGTCACTGCACAAGGACTCAAAAGGTCCAAAGACAATAATACAAGGATACTCTAAATGCCCATTGATGCTCATAGTTAATTGTGAATGTCAAAGCATTGATGCTCAATCGAATGCCTGAGTCGGCAAGCAACAGTTACATGCAGCACCATTATAATGAATGTCTTGTGGCCAGAACAAGAAAGCAGCGGTGGCCACTTACGTTGGCAGTTGCACGCAGCAGCTAAGCAAAGTGGGGCAGGTGAGAGCGAACATACCATTCACGTGCAATTCTTCGTACATCGCGTCTCTGTGTACTCTGCTTGGACTGAGATTTCCATCACCAAGCCAGGCGTGATAACTGTGGCATAGAAATTTCAGCCCAAATAGCATGAATCACAAAGCAGAGTTTAGAGACCTGCTATGCAAGAGGTGCTGTTATGAACGAGTGGATAAGGCACTCGGTTTCTTAGAGTGGTGTTGTAGGTTCAAAAATTTCTACGGCTGATGCCTTTTTCTTTGAATGTGTTCATTTTTGTGTACACTAATTATCTTTACAGCAATTATTGACGTGAAGTAAGAATGCAAGCCAGAGCTTGCTTGGCGAAGCTGTACACGAATAACAGTCTTCCAATAGCACATGTGAGAGTGATGCGGCATAGTGACTGTGCTCTCTCTTCTCACATTATACTTCATGTATCATTGTCATGCGCATGCTTCCATGTAGCTTAACTCGGTGGAAGCACACACGACACGGCATTGCAACCAAAGGGAATCCAGCTATTTAGCTGGGGCACATGCCGGCTTTCTCACTCAATGAATCATAGTTTGCTTTCACATCAATATAATCATGTCATTTAGATTATCAAAAGTATCAAAGCACTTTGTTATACAAAAGTTTGCATCATGGAGTCTTAAAATGTTGCATCTCTTACACTTGACATTCTCTTATAACTACAACACCCATTACCTAAAAAGCCAATTTGACCAAACGAAACATTTTTTCATTCTACAAATGGCTTGAGAGTGATGAGAACACCATACTATAACACAAAAGTCTTTAAACACATTGAAATAGTTGTCTGTGTTCATTTCGGGCCAGTTTCCAAGGCAGACAACCTGAAAAAAGATTCAGATGCAAGTAGACAATCAATGAATTGCAAAAAGCTCACGAAAACTTATCCAGGTCATGTAAACAACTACCACCATGGCATTCTGTGATGCCAGTGCAGGGATCCTGGGTTTCTAAATAAGGCGCTGTCCATTGAAGTAGCGTGTTGCAACCTCTACCGACCTGACGAAACAAAGCCAGAGCTTTACTAGAGATTAAAAATACTGAACGACACATTCTTCACTTCTAAGTCTGGGAAGTTTAAAAAAAGTGCTACTATGTGGCAGTGGTTTTTCAATACAATGTTCAGGTGAGTACATTTCAGACCTGCTCAAGAAGCAGACAACCTGAAAAAGACTGGAATACGTGTAGTTTAATAGTCCAGACAAAAACCCTAAAAATGAACAAACAGACAGGGACGCCTAATTACAGACTTCACATTAAAACTTGGAATAGCGTAGGGACATAATACTGCTATAAACAGATAAAATGGGGCTTCCAGAGCACGCCATTTAAAAAGAATTCGCTTTGAGTCGTTTCCTCCATGACCTCGCCACTGGCAATAGCGTTAGATTCCTCTGATTTGACAGCACCATGTGAACCAGTTTGCAAGATGCTGCACTGTGGCATTCATTTCGCAGAAGCAGTGATGGCAGCCACTGACCACGCCACTCATTTCAAAAGGAGAAGGTACTGTTTTATCTCCACTTCCTTTGCCCAGCTACATCTTTGCAAATTGTGCGTGTATCCTGCAGAAACCGACCATATGCACAGTTCCAGACATCTCAAACTTCTGCAGACAGAGAACATTGGACAGACAGAACATGAGGCATGTACAGTGTTGGCACTTCACAAGGTATTTCTTGTACAACATAGTGCCACTGAACTCAAGATGCAAAATATTTTCAACTAATTTCTCCTACCCTGTTGTGAACCACTTCAAAGCAGCACTGTGCAAATAAAATGAACCTAAGAATTCAGTGACTTGCGTAATGCCAAACATAATGAAGCCAAGGAAGGTACAGGGAATGTTAATCATACTGTTCTAAGTAGCGGTGAAGTAACTGTGATATAGATGTGAAAAAGTAAAGTGTACGAAAAGAAAACTTGCTGCCAGCAGGAACTGTACCTATGACTTTCGGATGCCTCCAATGCTGACAAATCAAAGCAACGAGCCTTCGAAAATTCCTTTCCTTCATTCATTAAGTGTGTGACCCCAAGTGTGATGCCAACTCTGCATCATTTGCTACGAAACATACACATACATCTTCCAGAACGTTGCTTCTAGAGCAGTGCTTCAGCAAATAGTAAAGAAAGTGTTTCGCCACAGCAGTGTGCCTGTAGTTGCGCCAGGAGATATAACAACAGTGCAGTCCACAGGATGCTTTGAAAAACCATCTCGGATCTATCCTGCAGTGTCTTTGCAAAGAGAGGAACTTATTTGAGCGTCAGCATTGTTTCGAGAAGTATATTTTGAAGAATAAAGGGACATCAGGCGCAGGTGCAGTGCAGTTTCGTGGGCACCGCCATGTACTGAATCACTATCATGGGCCTAAAAACACGACATTAACTGCTAATGCCTTCAAGGTAAAGCCAATTCATGTGGTGCCACACTGACACACCTTACGCGATGGAAAAGCAATGCGATTTTACGTAAGTGTGTTTTCGGAACTCTTTCAGCCGCCAACTTTGTGCTTCTGCTCTTAGTGTTGGGAGTTTCGATTGAACTCCAAGAGACATTAACAAATAGAACCGAGACAAGTTTATATTTTCTGAACTAAAATTAACAGTGAAAACACGGAACATGCCCCGCAGAGCAAAGAAACGACACACACGACCGCTAGTTCAGGAATATGCACCGATAAGGCTCGAGTGAACCTTTATTGATGTCCACATTTTTCCCTATTTAGTATTTTTATTACCACTCCAATGTTACTGCATTCAAAATGTTGCATGTGCCACAATCCTAATTAAACAAAACTAATAAATTTTCTGCAGTTATTGCTGCAGCGACATTAAAGTTTAGCAGCAGCAGCAACTTCTGATGTCACGAAATTTTCGAACTTTCTGGTTCTGGTCTAGTCGTTTAGAGAAGCACTGACGCGAACTTGAGAAATTTTTATACCGTTGCTCTAAATAGATGGTGCTGACACACTAAAAAGACGTATATCGCGGTGCCTGGGAATGCTTTGAATGTGCTATCACCCCTGTACTTTACTTGGCACCACTATCTGTTAGTTCTCATTAGGATTAATTCAAGTCCAACGATCGAAACTGACCCGCTGATGAACACTTCTTTCCTCCAAGTGTAGAGATAGGAAGTGAGCATAAACAACGGTTCTTGAGTAAAACACGCACACATATAATTTTTTTTCATGCGCATACAATAAAACAGTATTAAACGCTCGCTTTGAACGAACTACCGTCCCCTCAGTTCCTTGCTGAGCACAGTGCCAACGCTGTGCCACAGAAGTGGCGAGAGCATCCGATTAATAGCCCAAGAGGCTGCATTTAAGTATTGGCACGTCGTATGTACTACCACAAGAAAACTGTTACTCGTTACGTGTGGGCGTAATGCTGGACGCCACTTCATAAAGCGCGCGCGCATTTGGACTCCGAGCAGTCCAAGGCAGGGCGCACGAAATGCGAACCACCGCCTACGACATTACCGAACTTTCTTTCACTACTGTACTCACATTATGCCGACAGTTCACTGGTCATATATTACCAGACATTTCTTTAGGGCCTTTACAAAGCCTCGCGCACGGCCAGATTTGAGGAGGCAACGTGCCACTTCAGCGCCAACGCTAAAACGAGAGCAGGGTATGCAGGCAGCAGCACACGAATGGTTCAACAACAGAATCGCAACCGTAACCACAACATTGTCGACACATTGACGAGCTATCGAGGCACTAAAATTAGCACAACCACTCTGCAAACTGGTAACCATATCCCACAGTGTAGCACGGTGCACCGGCTGCGTTGCACAGCAGAAATGAAAAACACACAATAAACATAGGAAACAATGCCCGTAGTGCCGTTGTAGTATGTGAATTACTAAGTTGAGCGCGGCGCGCGACGTCTGGATTTTTTCGAAAAGTGCAGAGGTTCGCCACTGCATATGGTTAGCGCTGTCATCTGTAACGTGACGGGTTCCTCGATTGGATGGGAGCGCGCTCATCATAGAGTGCCTCGTCGTCGCTCGATGCACTCTTTCGCCTACGCGAGAACGCAGCGAACGGCTTCCCACTACAGCATGGCAAATGCAAAGAAAACGGAAAGGTTTTCGTTCTGTTTCGTCTGCTCTATAAAAGCAAACGCAAACTTACAATGAAGAGGGCAAACCTGCGGCATTGTTCTGACGTTCGAAACCGAAAGGTTAAAAACAAAAAACTACTTCCCTGAAGGGAATTGTGAGGAAATTCGAATGCATTTCTTGCGCTGAGAGAAGGTACCGTTGCCGTCAGACATTCACATTACCGACTTTTGCCATCGCCTTGAAAGGAGCCCAGCCAGCTAACGGTCGAGAGTGGGGAGCAAGCAGATGGGAGAGTAGGGCGCCAGCGTTGTCGGCTCGGCGTTTCACAGCGGCGTATCAAGCACACATTTCTGGAAAATTCTGTATTTATACCATTATTATCACCACATCATTATAAAACACGTTGAACTGAGAGACTTTAGATCTACTTAGGGGTGAAGCACCTTATATAAGGTAGAGGCATATCCGTTATGTGCTGTCCATTGTCCAGCACAACACATGTAACGGTACCCACTATACATGTGTTACACATACGCCACATCCAAGAACGAGAAGACCGAGAACCGCCATCTTTCTCAACATAAGCAGCTGCCTGGAAGCGTAGTCAGAAGCTTTGCAGCGGCGAAATCTGGTCTTCAGTCGCGCTACCGTCTTTACCATGACTATTTGCGCCGTTTTTGGATGCAGAATAATACCCACCACGGTGGTATATTAGCTGAGACACTCGGCTGCTGACCCGCAGGTCACGGAATCGAATCCCGGCCGCATTTTCGGTGGAGGCGAAAATGCTTTGACCCGTGTGCTTAGAGTTAGGCGCACGTTAAAGAACCCCAGATGGTCGAAATTTCAGGAGCCCTCAACTACGGCCTCTCTCATGATCACATGGTGGTTTTGGTACGTTAAACCCTAATTGGTGACTGCACTCATCACTTC